GATGTTGTCCAGTGTCCTCTGGTCTCTATTTTAGGAGGAGTTTTCTTTCTTATATTTTCATAGATCTATGTGTTTTGGGGAGGAGATTTACACTGCTCTACTCATGCCGCCATCTTGGCTCTGCCTCTGTTTTTTGTTTTATAAAATAGAAGTGTTATTAAGATATAAGAATACTTGGAAATGCTCTGTGTGTATGTCATTTTATATAAATATAATTAAATTGTGTATATATTTGATAATTATTCTTTATAAACTACCAAGAGAACTTCATTGCAAGACCCAGTTTGTCTTTGAAAATCTGACTGTCTTCATGTTTGATGCTTTGCTCAAATAAGTTACCCAACTCTTTGTTCCATGTGCCTATTCAGTGACTCTGCTGTTATTTTCCAACTGCTCACAGTTATACAGGTTCAAGACTTCCTTTGATTATAAATTTAGTGGTTTGAATCACAGTAAAGAATACTAAATAATTGAAAAATATTGGCTCATTTAACCAATCTAATCTTGTTTTCTTATAGGAGGAGGTCAAAAATGAATACTTGCTAAAGGAAAAACAAAAGGAATGGAAAAATTTCAAGGTATAAAACTATATGTTGCAATAAAATATATAGGATATATAATAATTCTTTCCTTTTGGTATACTATATTAATTAGTAATAACTGTTTTCAGAGAGTATCAATATTAAGGAAAATAAGGGATGTTAAAGAAAATATTTTTTACTGAAAAATGCATTGCTTAGTTGTTTATAGCTTAATACTGTCTTGTAAGAAACATGTAAAATAAAATTGTAGTAACTATTTTTTGCCTTCAAATTTAGAGGGAAGAATATGCATTAAATATCTACTTGGTGCTAAGCAGTGTTTATATGCTGTATTATTTAACCTTTTTAAATACTTTTACTAAAATTATAAAGGTAATAAGTAATTATTGCTTTTTTATTTTATGGAAGAAGAAACTAAGTACTGTGGAGATGAAGGAACTTGTTCAAGTAACATAGATGGTATAACTGTCAGTAATACAATCTTGGTTTGCCCAAATCCAGATATAAGTTCTTTGTAATTCCATAGTGCTTTCTATGAAGGCTATATATAATGCAGTTGGAAATTGAGAATAAAAATATCTTTATTTTGTAATATATACATAGTGACTGATGATTTTCATATTGCTATGGGATTAATCCAAATTTTTGGCACTTTGAAAATCTGTCAGAATCATCCTCTTTGTTATCACCATCATCATCATCACTGTCTCCACCATCACTTCTCCAATACCTTCTATGAGGTACACAGAGTGGTTGAAACCATTTAACGAACTCATTTGTGTATATCTTTAAGTACACTGAGAAAATAAAGGGATTACTCTGGAGCTTTTGGCTGAGCTGAGACATACAGTCTTCAATGTATGTAGAAAACTTAAAAAGAACACAAGATAAAGAAATAAGACAATATACCACTTTTTAAATAACAACCCCTCTTCATTTTTCTGGTTAACACCATAGATTAATATGGTATGAAACACCACATTATCAGTAGAAAGTAAAAATGACAGGCAGAAATTTTAACTAGGGTGTTTTATTTTTAAAAAATATCCCAGCAAACTTAGCAAACAAATAGAAGAAAGGGTCAAAGTTTTTCAAATAGCTCGTTCTTAGGCTCTGGATCTGGGATACCACAGGTAAGTGCTGCTCAACTACTGTGTTACTTTAAGCCCAGTATGTATTTCTCCTTTTGATACAGGTGTGTAGGGTGGGAACACTGACCCATTTAAGTAAGAATGGGTGTTTCAGAAAAACATTCCAAATACTTATTGCTGTTAAGAGAATAGTGAAGCAAAGAGTAGGACGAATTCCACACTGAAACACTACCCTCCATAATCCTCTGCAATGATGTAATTTGGCAGAGTGCCAGGCTGCTCTTGCCTTGATCAATTACTAATTCTGTATTCTTGCTAAGCTAGTTTTTGAGTTTGCCCATTCATATGAGTCAATGCGCACTGAGTCAGCTCCTATCAGGGATTTGTATCACTACTCCAAACATTACAATTTACTAAAAGCTTGTTATATTTCAACTTATTGTTGAAATATATAGTATATTTCCTTAAATTCTAGTTCTTTGCAAAATAAAATTTGATCATTTTAAAGGTATACATGAAAATAATCACTAATAAAAATATTTTGATACTTTCTAATTTCCCTTAAAGAAATCCAAATTTGTAAGAATCTTGCCCCTACTAAAATCTGCCCTACTGAACTTCTCTTAATTCTCAAAAGCCCATTCTTTCTCTTATCTGAAACACTTTTACCTGAGCTGATTTGTAGCCATTTATTGTCAGTTTCACTACTAGTCTAATTTCAATAAGGGAGAGAGATTGACAAGTATGAGTTACATCATGGAAATTCAATAATTATGAAAAATGAATGAATGAATGATATGCTTACTACCAATATTTTTTTTTTCCTGAAATGGCCAGAATAAAGGTTTCATAACTTTGTTGATGCCATCCCAAATGTATGATGGGGGAATTGCTGGAAAATCTGGATGCTCAAGGCCCTTCATTCAAGCTGTTGTTTCTTTGGAGATTCCCTGCTGTCAGACACATCACATATTTAGAAAATGATTTTTGGAACTTTTAGCTGGATATATCAGACTCCCATAATGAATAAATAAATTTATTAAAGTTATTGTAGGAACAATATATGAAGAGCAATTCACAGAGTTGAATGAAACTTGTTGCTCTTATCCCAAGTCCTAAAATCTAGATTTGTTAACTATGCAACTTTACCTGTCATAAGAATTTTTGTTAAAAATGTCCTGTTTCCTACCATTTCATTTAGTCCTATCAGGATTTGTGTTCCAAAACCAAGGACTTGTCAAGAAACTCAACCTTTATTTCCTTTCTTCCTGTAGTGTACCTATCTAGGCATTTATTTAAAAATTCTGTTAATATGCACATCAGTTTTAATGGTTTGTAAACATTATACATGCACTAACAAGAAGAGACTGTGAACTTTCAAGTTCATACTTTTTAGCTCAGCACCCTTAAGCAGTATTTCTGCTCTACAGGCATTTTTCTGATCGATTCATAAAAGCTGAAACTAAAAGCCAGTTGGAAAGTGTATGGAAAAAAATACATCATCATATAAAACATGAGCTAATCAGCATTTGACAAACTACCTACGCCCCAAACCAAACTAAAACAAACTCTTGATTTGTAGCACTTGCCAATTTTGATCATTATATTCAAATATTCCCATCATAGTCAATTTCAAGCTCCCAACATGGTGATACTCTAAGTGCAGTTGGGAAGAGATGCACACATGTGGCTCTCGTGGGACATGAGCCAGGTGCACAACACAAGCGGTTCCTGATGTCTTGTTAGATGCGCTTACACAAACCTGATTTAAACAACTAGGTCCAGGAAACTGGGCTTTTAATTTAAAAACCCCCAGAAAATAAATGAGGAGATATGGAGCCATTCCACTAGGACGGGTTGGAGGGCTGGAATCAGGAGAGATGAAGTAACCATTTAACTATATTATGAGATATTAAGTAAAAAGTAGGAATTTGGAGGGGGGAATACATTTTTGGTATTGCTAACAATAAGGAAAAAAATTCTGAATTTGCCAAATATTCTTTCTATATATTCTTTCTGATTCTTGTGTTAGCATTTTAATGAAAATTTTGGGGTATCAGTGCTTGTTTATTTTATTCATTTTGACAATATATCCCAGGCAGACCTGCCGCCTTATTTCATTGCCATTCATGTCTCTTATCAAGCCCCTTTGCATTTCTAAGCAAGTTTGAACTCTCTGAACAAACATTCAGTGTTTTGTGCTTAGTTTTCCCTCCCAAGATTTTTCCTTTCTAACCATTCTATTCAGTTTAGTTTTCTTACTTTTTCACTACAAATTCTAATTGGCTTTGTTTTTTGTGTTTTCCCTCACTCCTCATGACCAACTTCAGATCCTAGTCTTCCTTCAAGTCACAACACCCACACCTCTATCACATTGTACTTTCATATCCTAAAATATTTGAATACTTTTAATAGTTTGAACTAAATAACAATATTATAATATAATAGTTCTAATCTATATATTTCACTCAAATTTATTCTCAGAATAAACATATTGGTTTTTTTCTTTTGGCTAATATAGTCATTTGGGATGAAATAATAAAATAATTATGAATCAGAGAAGAATTATGAGTCAGATTAGAAATCTATTTTAGAGTAAAAAGAACTGAAGCACACAAAACTACAAAAATTATAATGAAATTACATTTCAAAATATGTGAAATAATCACTCCATATTAATTTTTAAATCTGTTTAGAAATTTTTGATGTCAATATTCAGTAGCTTGCAGAAATGAAAGCACAAGTCATGGGTCCAACCCTGGTCCATACATATAATTTTCATTATTTAAATGGTTTTATAAATTTTGGAAAAGGGGTCCATTGGGAAGAAACTGGTTTTTAGTGGACATGTTGAATGATTAATTGTTTAGGTTTATTTGATTAGGTTTATTTTAATTAGTCTTTATACTTAATAAGGATATTGAGTTAATTTAAGAATAGCACTTCTTATTACTTCTGAGACAGAGTAGATACAACTTACTGCATTTATCTCCAAATAGTGCTTAAAAAACAGCAAAAAAGAACTCCACAAAAGTATTTATAAAAAAAAAAATTCTCACTCACTCATGTTATAACCAGTGGAAGTTATTTCTTGTAAGTCCAGAGCCAAACACATTATTTTATGGGAGAAAATAGAATTGTAAGTAAATACAGATGTACCTATGCCCCAAGTGCATATGTATTTTTTATTTTTGATACATGTTTAGATCAGCATTCACATCAGTTCTGTGGCCCTAATATCATGCCTCTACTCTATCCCTTCAAATGAAGTTAAATATCGTTTTAGGCTAGCTTTGCTAGGCTGTATTTCATTAGTTTCTTCAGTTCCCCTCATAAATCCTACTTTCCTTTTTAAAAATTATTTTGTTGCTCTCTTCTGAACCCTCAGTGATTAACATGAGACCACTAAATTAAATTTCACTTGTTATGCCTAAATCTTTATGTACCAAGTAATATTAATTGACCTGGTGCCTCAAGCTAGTCTTCATGACTGAGATGGAATATATTATTAAGAAGTGCAAATCTTTTTTTATCCTCATATAACAATTGTTGGTTGAACTTTTTATCACAGATGAATATTTGCTTATTTTATCCATTGGAATTATTATGAAAAGAAGTATTAATCACTAATCTCTTGAACTGTAGCTTTTAAATGGAGAATTGAAGCCTTCTTTTTCCCACATCTTTCTCATCTCTCTTCAGAAACACTGTCTCATTATCTGAAATTCTCCTTATTTGTCTTTTCTCCTCGATTTTAGGCTCCTTGAAGGAAAGGTCATTTGTTTGCAGATGTATGTCTAGAACTAAGCACAAGAATGCACATAGTATTCCTCAGCAAGCATTAGTGAAGTGATAAAAATGGATGAATATCTGCACAACTCAAATGACTCAGTATCTTCTGAAATGTAAAAAAGAAGAAAAATTTATACAAACTGCTACTATTTA